ACCAGTGGAGTCAGATGGTGGGAATGATCTTGTACCTGACCAATATAGTGTTATGGCTACTTTAAATGGCCATGCAAATCACCAATATAATGAAACAGCCGGGATGGTCCTGTAACTGACCAATAGTGTGTTGTGGCCAGAATACTTTATTAAATGACCAGTGGAGTCAGATGGTAGGCATGATCTTGTACCTGACCAATATAGTGTTATGGCTACTTTGAATGGCCATGCAAATCACCAATAGAATGAAACAGCCTGGATGGTCTTGTAACTGACCAATAGTGTTATGGCCAGAATACTTCATTTACTGACCAGTCGGATGGTTGGAATGGTCTTGTAACTGACCAAGAAAGAGGGTTTTTTAACATTTTTCGGACTTAATGTTTGATTCCACTCATTGATGCATTGTTTCTTTTTCTCTAGTATTTAGTATTGGTTGAATTAGAAAACACAGAATACAATTCATGTTTAATTCAGAGAACAATTTACTTGTCATAAAAGTGTTCCGGTAAATTAAGGAGAAAATGGATTCCGAATAAAAGTGTCTCCAACACTAACAAATCCACTATGACTGAAGTAATACCAAATCAAATGACTTCTTCTCAATAGCCACAAGGCCCAGGGTACTGAAATTGGGCCTGTAGCGTGCTGGGATGAAGGGCTACCAAATTTGGTCAAATGAATGACCTTGACCAACTTTCAAGGTGACAGGGGTCAAATGTCTTAAAATCTTAAAACAGCTTCTTCTCAATAACCAAAAGGCCCAGGGTACTGAACTTGGGCTTGTAGCATGTTGGGACGAAGGGCTACCATGTTTGTTCAAATGAATGACCTTAACCCACTTTCAAGGCCACAGGGGTCAAATATGTTAAAATCTTCAAATAACTTATCAATAACCAAAAGGCCCAGGGTACTGATATTGGGCCTGTATCATGCTGGGATGAAGGGCTACCATGTTTGTTCAAATGCATGACCTTGACCCATTTTCAACCTAATGTCCTTGTTCGACATTCAAGGTTACAGGCGTCATATGGTTACATCTTTTAATAGGTTCTTATGAATCAAACACTGATATTATGCCTGTAGCTGTATTTTAGTCCACTTTTAAGATTACAAGTGTGAGATTAATACATCTGTACCAGGTGATTTTAAAAACTTTTAACGACTTCTTCTGTATAACAAAAAGGTCCAAGGTGATGATATTTGGCCAGAAGGATGTTGGCATGAAGGGCTACAAATTTTGTTCAAATGAATGACCTTCGTCCATATTCAAGGTCACAGGGGTCAAATATGTTGAAATAACTTTAAACAACTTCTTCTGAATATCTAAAGCACAAAGGGTGATTGCTTGTTGGTGTGAATGACCTTGACACACTTTCATGGTCACATCTGGTCCATAGTGCAGAAATCTTTAAAAGTCATCCTCTCAATAAACAAAATGTATAAGGTGGTGATATTTGGCAATTTGCATTCTGGGAGGAAGGGCTATGAAGTTTGTTCACCATAATGTCCATTTTTGACTTTCAAGGTCACAGGGGTCAAACGTGTTTTAATCATTTAACAGGTCCTTCTGAATGACTTTAAGTCAAGACACTGATATTTTGCCTGTAGCTTTATTTTATTCCACTTTATGGTAACAATTGTGAGATTTATACCAGGTGAGCGATGCAGGCCCATTTGGCCTCTTGTTTAACTCTACTAACAGCTATGGTCATTTAAGGACGTGCCAGGTTTTGGTGGTGGAGGAAAGCCGAAGTTCCCGGAGAAAAAACACCGACCTACGGCCAGTACCTGCCAACTGCCCCATGTAGGCCTCAAACCCGCGACCCAGTGGTGGAGGGCTAGTGGCTTGGCCACTGCGGCCCGATTTGTGATTATCCTGCGCCAACAAAACCTTGAATGTCATTAAACATTAACAGGATGTAAAACCCACAACAAGCAAGATTCACATATTGTTGTTATTTTGACGAGAGGAACATGCTCCCTTAAATAACTTGACCTCTTTATCTGTCGATGATAAATGATGATAAATCGTTGTTGTGTTTCCAGGGGACGGGTGAGGAACTTCAGGTGGTACGGGACTCGCTACATAACCTGTGTCTGAGCTTCAAGGGTACGGATCCCCAGCAGTACACGATAGACACACTGGAACAGAGCTTGTCAGCTCTCCTCGATAAAATCTCGATGTCCGCAACCTCTTCGGTCGGCTGAGGGGACGCACAGGTAAATTCTTCACAAATCGAGTAAATTCCATCCTTTTACGTCAGGGACTCGCAGGTAAATTCTTTACTGATGTGAAAGGTCTGACAACTCTGTCTGCTCTAGAAACCAGCTCGATACCCTCTAAATTCTTTGTTAAGAACATAATACAAGTGAGGTACCGTATTTATCTTACAATAAACCCATGCCTGGTAATAAGCCCACCCTTATCTATTGCAGCTCAGTAAAAATGCAAACACATGCTATTTCATTGTATTATAATATATAGAGTCTACCTTCCTAATTTAAGTTAGAAATTTTGTATCGGCCCCTGGGCTTTTTTGCGGATAAATACTTCTGATATTGAATGAGAGGTCACCTGAGTGCATTTAGCTCTATTTGTTTGGTGGGAATTTTTGTCAAGCTCCAATTCTATCAAAGCAGCAATGAGGAAATATATGAGTTCTACACACATGTTCTAGTTACTGAATGAAATATTGGTTTGTATCTTTTTTATTTTAGACTAAGCTTTAGCTATAGAACATGTCCTGTTATTGAAACAATAAGTAACGGTTCAGATCACTTGAGCTACATAAGTGATTGTATTTATGGTGCAGTGTAAACAAGCTCTATTGTCACCATCTGTCCAGCAGAATTATGGCGTAATAAAGAGGTTCTGTGATACAATGAGGGGAACCCTTAAAAGAAAAGGAAAAGGGGTCGCAGAATTTGTTGGCAATTAATGAGATGGCGAATAAAAATTATTGATATGATATTGAGTGTATGCTGTAAATGATGTCCTGGTCAATTGACAACTATTTCTTGTTGTTTTTCCAGAGTGGTCATGACGTTACGTCACGGCGCCTGAACTTCGACTCGACGGGCGACGTTCGCCGATCCCCGTTCACCTCCATTCCGGGTAGTCAGACAAGTGAATGGCCCTGATCAGGCATATGTTGGACATAACTTACACCTAACTGGGACTTCCAAACTTTCCTATTGACCTATTATATACTCTACACTATAGGATTGTCTGCCTTTACAGAATTTCTGAAATGATTGCCTGAATAACTCCTGAATAATTTTGTTTAACAATATTTTCTAAACATTCAGTATCTATTAACCATTTCACCACTGTAGACCATAATAGCCTCATCCAAATGAATGTATGGTAGAGTCTACTCAAGTTACCTAGGGGTGAAAGAGTTAAATAAGAGTAAAGTTAAAGAAACTCCGGTCCCTAAACTGTCAGACACCTTTCCAGTTGAATATGATCATTTGTGTGATGGTAAAGTGTGTCTGTTTGCAGGTTTTCCCTACAATCATCTAGACGGCGGTGGCCAGCCGACCACATCTACACCCATCAGCTCTAAGGAGTCCACAAAAGTATTATACTTCACCGATAAGTCCCTTAGTCCATTCTCCTACACCATACGTAAAAGGTAGGTATACTTCACCGATAAGTCCCTTAGAGGAACAGGAGAGTTGTCTCCCTTGACAATATTTACTTCCTGTAATGTAAAGTGTTGACTAACAAAGAGGAACTACTCATGGGTCGGAATTTCTTGGAAGTGTAGTAAACTTATTTTGTTCAGACAGGATTATCGAGAAAAGTTTTACTACATTTAAATATTTTATAGAACACCTCTTCAGAAATGTTCCTCGTGTCCAATCTAACTCATTTTGATTCACTTTTGTACACCACTGAAACCTCGGAAACGTCAGAACAAGTTACATTTGATATAGTTGCTAGTGCTTTTTGTCCTTTCGTCACTGTGATATTCTCCGCCACTAGCAGCTTTCTCACTGCCTATATCGAGCGTCACCACGCTTCTGTTAATATTTGTGAGGTCAGTTTTACCTCTGACTTGTTACGTTGAACAAGGACAAGTAACCGTTCTGTTCTACAAGTCCTCTGTCCTCTGTCCTACAAGTCCTCTGTCCTCTGTCCTACAAGTCCTCTGTCCTCTGTCCTAAGTCCTCTGTCCTACTAGTCCTCTGTCCTCTGTCCTACAAGTCTTCTGTCCTCTGTCCTACAAGTCCTCTGTCCTACAATGGTCTGTCCTACAAGTCCTCTGTCCTACCTTATAAAAGTGCTTCGTATCTAACCCAGCTCATACGTCTTGCTTCCATTTTGATCGGTGCCAAATTTCATCGTTTTTATAGTCCATTCTAGGATTATGAACTTCTAAGTGACTATATTCTATGGATGATTGTATAGTTGTGCGAAACTTTATTATGTGCGACAAGATATTCTTCATTTCTTGTAGTGAAGGCATGCATACGTTATAAAATCACTGTAGAAGACCCCTCGTGCGCTAACATCCGGGCCAACAAGAGTGATTAATATAAGTTAATGAAGTTTTTTTTTTTTAATTTAAAATCACTGATCATGATTAGAAAGTTAATTGAGGAAATCTTGACAGATTACAAAATTTAGCGAAGGAAATTTGTACTATTTACTGTATATTTCATGGCTGACTAATGTTTCAGCAAACATCCCTGACTGTGTACTCTTATAGTAAATTATGTTATCAGTGACAAAAGCGGAGCAAAACTTAACTGTATGAACCCATGTAACTACTTTTTCCTGATTATCAAGAATGCTTTTATGACAAATCCTTTAATTACCTAAAAGGTCAAATTTTCTGTGCTAAATTATCCATTCTATATGATTAATATAGAGATATCTGTCTAATCTGACACCCTGTGGAACACGACATTGTTCAGATAAACCTGTCTAATCTGACACCCTGTAGGGCACAACAAATATTTGAGTTTATTACCCCGTCTTTTCCGACACATTCAAAGGTATACATTGGTCAAACATTTTGTTATGCAAAATATTAAGTCTTCACATAGACTATTGCCTAAGCTTGATCATGTAATCGTTGATTAAATATTTCACTGTGTATCATATTATAGCCTGACCATTGAACATTGATTTATGATGGGGTCAAAGTTCAAGGAAGTAGCTTCATCTGGTCGTATGATCATTCCATGTACATGTCACGGTGTGTGTAGGTAGAAATGATGTGCTTCCTCGATATCCAGGGGTTAGGCTCACTTACGCTCTCTGCTCCCCTGGAATATGTCATAGCAAAATGGAAGGCTCAGTGTTCGCCACCTTGTGGATGAGACAAGAAGACTAGTTTGATCCTTTGANAGTAAAACTTCTCTGTGATCTTCAAGGAACAGGTATCAGTTTAGTGATTGGTCAGATTTTTTTTACCAGAGACCAATCAAATAGCTAGTCACGTGCCTTAAATTTTGCTATGATATATTCTAGGGGTGCAGAGAGTGAAAGTGAGCGTACCCCCTGGATATCGAGGATGGTAATGTTTTATATATACAATTTACAATGTCAAATATTTGATAATCAAGTCATTTGAGGCTGTATAATCTTATTGTATAATCTTTCTGTTCTGCCAGTATTTTTTAAGTATTTTTTTGTTTGTAAACTGCCTTTGATATCTTCAAGTAAAGATTTGTGAATTTTACAAGTTGTAAAAATACACCCAGTTCATTTTTACAATAATTTGCAGCTTGGTTGGTCAAATAAAATATTCTTGTTTTGAAATTTTGTTTCATTGTTAAAAATCAAAACATTAAGATATTCAAAAACTTTTATTTTTCGAAGTTAGCAGCAAAGTTTAATTTGTGGGACCAATTAGGTTAACTTCTGGTATAGCTGTACATTCAAACCTGTATAATAACAGGTACATTTTTGGGATCTAACAAATCAATTGTTATATTTGGTAAATTGTACGAGAAGTGGAATTACACTTTTACTACCTATTCAACTACACAAAAAATAAAGAATGTGTTTTATTTTTAATTTTGTTAAATTAGATGTTATTTTTCAAAATGGCAAATTACGAATTACTTTACAGGAAGTGATGATAGATGAACAAATCTTAAAATAGTGTCGCTTACCGGTATATAAATCTGTCTCCGAAAATATTTAAACATCGACTTCACACTATTACGCAATCATAACTGGTGCAATATACATAATATGCTCGCACAACATGTGTAAATGATGTTATTTCATTACAACTGGCGTTACTGTCACAGTTTTTGATCGGTTGCTCATTGTACTGGTTGTCTGATATTTCAGTGTTAAATATTTGTTTTTATTTTTTCCTGCAAAGTTTTTCATGTTCATTTGTGCCTTATCTGTACATTGTTGTCCGATCCGGTTACTGTTAAAAAGAAACCACTGTTTCCTGTCTAAAATTTAGGAGGTGCTGATCATGGTTCTAGATCAAATTAATGCTACTTTCATTTTCCATATTGTTATCATTTTGTCATTCTTTATTATTTACATGTAAATGAGAAGGTTATAGTCATTGTTCTAAGCCAATGCAATGTTACTTTCACTATCCATATATATATCATTATTTAATCCTTTAGTAAAATGATTAAATATATGTACTTTAAATATATTTGTGTTTAAATGAAGCGGTGATGTTCATAATGTTCAACCAATGATACTTATGAATATACATTGGTGATGATGTTACTATGTTTCTGAATATTTTCCAAAACCAAACATTTTATTTTCCAATATTTTGTCAACCTTCCTTTGAAAGTTTATCGAGTTTCAGTAGTTCTATAATTTGTATCTGTACTTAAATGATTTAGTAAGACAGCATCAATGACCTCTTCTCCAATCAATCTGTGGTTAAAGTTCTGAGGTCAAGGGTGAAAGGTCATTGGAATGTAATCTCATTTGGTTTGAAATCAGAGCATATTTGAAGTCATATTATCGGTTAGCCTAAAAGAATAAAATGTGGGTGTTTCTTGTTGCCCTACATAACAACTTATTTTTTGACAAATATGCGTTCAGTTTAGACCAATATTTAGATGTAAAACGAGTCAATATCATTGATCTAATAAATTTACCCTATATATAAACATGTACCCCCCACCTAATAACTGATGTTTTAGAGAGTGAAATCAGATACGCAGTTATGTTTTCAGGCCAGAATATTTTGTAGATTGAATTTCCTAGATGACATTGACATGCCATGTTTACATTAATGTTTGTTTTGTGTGCTAAGTTATTTCTGTATAACACAACTATTTATTATTGTGTATTTAGTTCATTGTTAGATTTATTTTTCTGTCTCTTTAAAGATCTGCCATCAATATATACCAGGATATGTTAGACATGTTCTGTCACTCTACACAAGCCTTATTCTGTTTCTTTTGAAATATCTACAAATGTTTTTTGTGTGCATTTTTTCTTAGTTTCATTAATCTCTCAGTACTTCGGTAGTATGTGTATCTGTATGTGTTTCTTAAGTTGTTTAAAATACTACAGCAAAAGTTTAAAACTATAAAATGTTATGTTTGTTCAAATGTTTCCCACTTAGATCTTATATTTCATATGTTTTTAACTTGTTAAATTCATGACAAGCAAATATATTTTCATGACACAAGTAAATTTTCACAACACGCAAACATAAGCTCATAATCATAACATGCAAACAGTTTAATTTGTGTGATATTATCGTGATATTGTTTTACCCCTGCTTTAACTCATTCACCCCTTAAATTTCATAATGAACTATTCCAACGTTTGAATTGGAAGAGTTCAAAAGTGTATTCATGGGTGAATGAGGTAAAGCAGGTGTAAACCACTATCAGTCTTGAGTTATTTTATGCTGTCAGAATTTAAATTTCAGCATCAAACTTTAAGTTTTGGTGTACCTTTAAAATTACATGTACCTCTAAAACAAAAAACTATAAAACATGTTGTTAAACAATGACATTTATTTGTGGAATTAGTATGTATTGTACAACACTATAATATAGGTTTCATTCAACTTGCACTGCCATTAAACACCTGACCTTCCACATATTAAAAACAATATGTATATTACTTATTGAATATTTACATATAAACGCCCTAGATCACCCTATGTGGTGGTCGACATGTAAATACCCAAGATCACTGTACATGGTGGTCCAACTCCCAAGATTCCTGATGAAGTTCTAGTCATTTAACTGTTTATGATTTCCAATGTTTATTTATGATATATGTATAATATTGTCCGTGCGCCCCGGTAATGGCTAGGCGACGTTACTGGTACATGTCGATGTACGTTTAAATGTTCCTTCGGTCTGTGTAAGGAGGGGGGTATCCGTCGATACCTTTATTGTCGTATGTTGATTCCAAGCCTTGGTTTTTGTTGACACATCAGAATAAAGCTTGTTGTAAGAAAATGTTTGTGTTCAAGTTATGTTTTCAATACAAGAAGGAACTTAAGGACATATGCCACCTTACACCTTGAACTGTATATTGGAGTTATCTCCCTTGGACAGTTTAGTTAGCATGATTTAATCATTCAGGATTATATTTGCTAAGGTACAAAGAATTGAGCATGTGTACCAAGCTATATAGATGGTAATACAATTCTGCGAATGTATTCTCTATCACTTACACGGTAAGGGTGTACATACTTTATACCTGTGATTTGTGTTAGAGTTATCTCCCTTAAGGATATATACAACCTTACACATTATACCAGTGAAGTGTGTTAAAGTTATCTCCCTTAAGGATACATACTACCTTACACATTATACCTGTGATTTGTGTTAGAGTTATCTCCCTTAGGGATATATGTTACCATTAACTTTAAGCTGTGATATGGGATATACTAGTTACCATCGTATGGTTTTGTCACTATAAAATCCCACCACATTTAGAAGACATTTAAGCACCAGGGTACAATAAATACATAATCTTATTAATAACATTGCTGAATAATACTAAGTATAACCGAACTTCTATGAGATAAACAGATTCTGAAAAATGGTAAATTTAAGTATTGATCTGCTTATGTTTCTTTCTTAAAATACATCATAATTAATTAACAATATCTAAGAGTGTAATGATATTCCCAATTATCGTTAAAAATTGTGCGCGGAACTTGGTTGAAAAAGGATCACTGTACCACTG